AAAAAAAGGGAAAAGAAAAGATCTTTGTTTCCTAAAAAGAACAATGCTAGGGGCACTCGCTTTTCGCATTCTTCGGTCAATACTTTCTCTTTTATTGGGTCACGTCATCTTGGTTCCCGAAAAGTTGCGCTGAAAGTTTTAAAGAAGCTTACGTGGCCCAATAAAAGGAGAAGTGTTGGCCGGAGAGTGCGAAAAGCGAGTGCCTCTAGCATTGCTCTTCCTAAAAATTACTAGTATTAAAAAAAATAATAATAAAGTATGCCAATTTCCCCCGATCTTCACGGAGATCCCCGTCACGAGGACAGGGTGAGGAATAATATTCTTTCTCGCGGGGCGAGGATGTGGAGTATTTTCTCCCCGTGAAATTTTATGGGGAATTTTCCCCGTCCCGTGGAGTCCCGCAGGGATCCCCATCCCCGCAAAAATTAAAATAAATATAAATTAATTTTATTTTAAATTTAATTCATCTTTTAAACTCAAATCCAAATCCAAACCCAAACTCAATTCAATCAAAATTAAACTTAACCCAACCCAACTCAATCCATAAAAATTAACCCATTTCATTTCCCTACTTACATTTAACCTTAATCCTAATTCATTTCTCAATTTTCATTTTTACCTTCCCCTCCATTTTTGGTTTAATTTTTGTTTATGTTTTAGTTTAACTTGGATTAATCTTTGTTTATATTTGGAACAAATTTATTAATTGTTGGTTTAGTTATTTATGTTGAATTGATTTTTATTTATATTTGAACAATTTATATTTTATTTTATATTTAAAAATTTTAATTAATTGTATTTGAATTTTTAGAATTTAATTCATTATAATTGAATATTAATTAATTATATGTAAAAAAAAAAAATTTATAATTTAATATTAATTGATGGAGAATAAGAATTCCTGCAGGGAACGGGAACAGAAAGTAAATTTTAACCCCCGTTAAAAATCCCCACAAGGATCTCCGTCCCCGCGAATATGAGATCCGTTGACATCCCTAATTCTGCATCCGCGACAATTGCGAAGATGAGTGGGCCCGTGGGCCGTACCAAACGTGGACGTAAGGCGTGCGTCTGCATTGTTTGATTCTAGAAGGTTAGCGGTGGTACATTGACGCTGGGCATAGCGCGGCTCGAAATGACGCGACAGCGACGCTGGTCAATCTTAGATACGATCATACAAATACGACATGTGGGTAGGCGCGTGCCTAAGTCCAAGACCCGATGGATATGTTCGCTGGATCAACACGGCATCTGGACCCCACGTATGAAGGTAGGGCCGTAGAGGTCTGTTTGGTCTAACACAACCACCTTCCATTTTTCCATTCAAACTCTCATCTCACGGCGCTGCGCCTTTGCCCAATTCACATCTTTTAAATTAATTTCTTAAATTGGTCGATCATTAAAAACAAAAAAACTAAATAGAGATAACATTAACTTACACCCTTAAACTTATTTTATTTCTCAATTCAACTCTCAAATTTATTTTTTTAGATAACTAAGACTATTACTTAATTTACACCACTTGATTAAAGTAAAATTAACAACAAAGAGTCACATACATATGCAACTTCTCCGTTATCAACTTGCTTCGTCAGTTTCCCATGTTTTTGTGATAGAGAACATAATAACAAATTAACAATAATGGGCAATAGTGTTATTATCATATTGTGTATTAGTTTCTTGTAAAACATTATCATCATCACATCATATTTCTTATATACATATGCTTACAAAGCTTATTAAGGTTGTACTTAAAATTGTTGTATAATATTGTAACTATGGTTTTATATTAAGGTTTTCCATTATGAAGTCGATTAAGGTTTTGTGTTTTGATAATTATTTGAAAAAAAAAAAATTGGAGGTGTATAGTAGTTAATTTTAAATTTTGGTAAGAATAATAAAATTTTCATATGTATTTTTGAAATTAAAGTAATATTTTCAATGTTTTTCTTGAAAATTACAATTGCATATTTTATGTTAAAATTTGTAATGATTGTTTATGACTTCTAAATAAAGTAATCAATAAAAATTTACAAATTATAAAAAATACTAAAAAGTATTATAGTACAAAAGAAAAGCACTGGGAAAAGCAATGTCAAACCAGGTTTAAGACATGTTAACAACAAGAAAATATTTAGGTGAGCACCTTTTCTTCAAAGTTTGGTCTTAAATGGAAACTCATATTGTAAAGGGGCTTAATTGTTCCAAAAATGAATTTGATGGCTAGATTGAGAAATTAAAATAAAATTCAAGGGTCAACTTAGGATTTATTCCTAGTAAATAAAAAGGCTAAACATTAATTTTAGTTCCTTAACTATGGTACGAACCCTAATTTGATTTCTAAACTAAATAAATCATGTTTTGGATCCTAAAATTTAAAATTTTAGCTCTTTTTTGTCTAAAAACTAGAATTTATTTAGTTTATGGACCAAATTAAGGGTTCATAGAAAAGTTTAAGAACCAAAATTAGGGTTTAGTTTGATGGCAATTTTGTGATTAAATAAGTTTTTAAAATTAATATGGACAATGAATATTGTATACATCATCAATTTTTATGTGTGGAATTTCATATCATTAACTTGAAAGAAAAACTAGGTTTTGATATCAATTAACATGTCTTGTAAGCTAACGTTTAAGGAAATGAACAAAAAAGAGTTGAAATTTAAAACTTTGAAAAGCAATATGAATTTATTTAGTTTATGGACCAAATCAAGAGTTTGTACTAAGGTTGAGGAACCAAAATTATAGTTAAACCTAAATAAAAGGACCCAAAGAATTGGAGTCTAGAGCCAGCAATTGAGACCCAGCCAAGTCAAACGATCTAATGCATTTTCTTTCAGTTCCCCTTCAAACAAGCACGCTTTTTTCTCATAAAAAAATAAATTTGCACAATACCAGTTGTAGAATAAACGCATTCATACTAAGCACATCACGGAAAATATATATTTATTTTTCACAGCCACTTTTCCTTTGCACTTAATAGTCATACACCAACCAAGACCATAGTGGGTCAAAATTGGAGAATTTTGGAAATTTATATATTACCGCAACCACAAGACTTGGTGTTTTGATTATGCTTTTAATGAACCTGAAGTTTGCCCTTATATACCACAAATACAGAATAATCTCATCTCTATTCACTCATTTTGTGAAAAAAAAAAAATTTATAAGCTATTTTGTCTAAAAATATTAGACAAATTTTTATTTATAAGTTATGTGCATGAATTATTAAAATTATTTGCAATTAAAAAGCAAAAGATGGATTTTAACCTATGATTCTAGAGCATGAAAGTTCACTCCTTACCATTTTAATCAACCTCAAGTTATTTTCGAAGATCTCTTCGTTGTTGTAAAAAATTTTATTAAAAAGAAATACAATAAATTATATAATATATATTTTTTCTTTAAAATATGCATGTATGGCATTTAAAATCTTAAATTTAAAGAGATGATTGTAATTAGTCTTATACTAGTTATATACTACTTTTTTATTTTGGTGCGTTAAAAAATTAATTATTTAATAATATAAAATTTTAAATATTTAAATTTAATTTTCAATAAAATTTTTTATATAATTAAATATTAATTTAACCAAATTCTTATTGAAACTAATCTCGTACCATTAAAATGACACATCTGGCATCTTTATCAATGTGAAATTCAAAGCTACGAGAAACAAGGGTGGACCTTTCTCAAACAAAAAGATATCTTCGGCATTAAAATTAAAGAAAAAAATGAACAGAAAAAAAGATACCATAGAGGCAATGAACACAAACGCTGCATTTCCGGATTTCATCATTTGCTTGCCTGTTTATTTTAAACAAAATATTTTTTTAAGGCTGAACTGCATAATAATAAAATCACAGTTTAATCATGAATTTATTATAATATTTTCATAAAATAATTTTATTTTAATTTATTGTGTAATCTAACTTTAAAAATAAAGCTCTTGCTTTTTTTCCCATAAAACTCTTGTTTGTTTATTTTAGATTAAAATATTAATTTGGTCTCTCAACTTTTAAATTTATTTAAAATTGTTTTCAAACTTTAAAAAATATCAAAATTATCCTTAAATTTTAATTTTTGATACCAAAATAATCCTTAAATTTTAATTCAATACTAACTTAGTACTTGAATTTTGAAGATAAGTACTAATTTAGTCCTTTAACTTTAAATAAAAGTATTAATTTGGTCATTTAACTTTATTTATATATCAATATGATGTGTAAATAAAAATGTATAACAATAGTAAAATATAATTGTTTCATTTTATATATAATTAGTATTTTAAAAAAGAATTGTTTTGTTATAAGATAATGAGTTACATGATATTTTTGTTAATAGAAAGACTATTTTGATACTAAAAATTAAAATTTAAAAATAATTTTCATATAAATTTAAAAGTTGAGGGACCAAATTAATATTTTAACCTTTATTTTATCTATTCTTTTCCTGGAGTAGGTGGAAAATGTGGAACTTTTTTATTCACATTTTGTGATTATTAGTAGACTTTTTAACGTGTGGGACCAGTTCCTCACGCTTTTTCAATTTCTTTTTACTCAATTTAAATTTTTGTTACATTGATTTTTTTTTATGAGAGAAAATGATAAAATTAAGTGTTAACATGTTATTTTATAAAATAATCAAATTTTAAAATTAAGTGTTTTTCATCTGCTTACTAATGAATAACGTGACCGCTACTTAACCATGCCGGGGATTGCTTTTATTACATTGATTTTATTCACAGACTTAGCATATTTTTACTTTCTTTTCATATCAAATCCGTGCACATTCTAAAGGGCAAAATTTTATGTATGTATATAAACAGGAGTACACTTACACTTTAATATACTAAAATTTATGGTAAAAGATGGGTATTACTTTTTAAAACTATTATGTTGGAGTAAAGTTTTATTTTTAAAAGTTGTTAATGTAACTTAATATTTTAAATTTTTATTTTTAAAAATTAGTTTAAATTTAATGGTTACTGAAGAATATTGAGACTAAATCAATCTTTATTAGGTTATAATCAGGGTATATATACAAGATGTATAGAAGTATATTTACACTTCTAACCCTATACGATATACACGTGTATTATGATATATATTATCATCCCCCCGCAATTTGAGCGGGAGAGCAAAGAACGCTCAAATTGGACCTTTGAGATCGGAAAAGAGCAGAAGAGAGAGCCTTGGTGAGGACATCAGCACGTTGGGCAGAAGAAGGAACATACTGAATGCAAATAATACCAGAAGCAACACGCTCTCTAACAAAGTGAATATCAATCTCAATATGCTTCGTCCGTTGATGTTGAACTGGATTGAGAGACATGTAAATGGCACTGATATTATCACAATAAACCATAGGAGGAGAATGAAGGAAAACATGTAGCTCAGAAAGCAGTTGACGAACCCAAAGAACCTCAGCAACAGCATTGGCTATAGCACAATATTCAGCTTCAGCACTGGACCGAGCGACAGTGTTTTGCTTCTTGGAAGACCAAGAAATCAAAGAATTACCAAGAAACAAACAAAAACCAGAAATAGATCTTCTAGTATCAACACACCCAGCCCAATCAGCATCCGTAAACATATGTAGAGAAAGAGAGGAATTACGAAATAATTGAAGACCATAATTCAGAGTACCTTTCAAATAGCGTAATATCCGTTTGACAGCAGTGAAGTGATTGTGAGTAGGAGCATGCATATGCTGACAAACTTGGCCAACAGCAAAAGCAATATCTGGGCGCGTAAATGTTAAATACTGTAGGGCACCCACAATACTTCGATAGAATGCCGGATCAGAATAAGCTGGACCATCAGTAGAAAACAATTTGGCCTTGGGTGCCATAGGTGTTACCACTGGCTTACAATCAAGCATGCCACTTCTTTCAAGGAGCTCATGAGTATACTTCGACTGAGAAAGAAATAATCCATCGGAATTGAAACTAACACTGATACCCAAAAAATAATTAAGCTGCCCCAAATCAGTCATCAAGAACTCACTTTTCAGCAAAGAAATAATGGCATGAAGCAGCATTGTAGTGGAAGCCGTGAGCACAATATCATCCACATAAAGTAAAAGAATAGCCATAGCACCATTAGAATGATAAAGAAACATAGAACTGTCGGAGCGAGCTTGAGAAAAACCTCGAGTAAACAGAAAAGATGCAAATCTTTGAAACCAAGCACGAGGCGCCTGCTTCAAGCCATAAAGAGCACGATTCAACCGACAAACATAATCAGGATATTGTGGATCAATAAACCCCGGAGGCTGAGACATATATACAACCTTAGAAAGCCGCCCATGAAGAAAGGCATTCTTCACATCAAGTTGATGAATAGGCCAAGAATACATCACAGCTAATGCCAAAACAGTTCGAATGTTAACAGGCTTGACCACAGGACTGAAAGTATCATCATAATCAATACTTTGTTGTTGTGTAAACCCTTGAGCAACGAGGTGAGCTTTGAAGCGCTCAATAGAACCATCAGCCTTCTGTTTTATACGATAAACCCACTTGGAGCCAACCACATTGACAGTTGAAGGACGAGGCACAAGAGACCAAGTGTTATTCTTTAGCAAAGCCAAGAACTCATCCACCATTGCAGAACGCCATTCGGAGAATTGACAGGCTTGTTTAAAGGTTTTTGGTTCCCTGATGTCAGCTCCGGTAGCAAGCAAGGATGGCAGAACCCGAGGCTTTCGAGTGCCAACTTGAGACCTGGTAATCATCGGGTGGATCCGCCGAGGAGGCTGCAAGGAAGGTGGGAGCGAGGAGACAGGGGACAGTGGAAGGGAACAAGAAGACATGGAAGAGGTAGCATGGGAGGCAGGGAGTTCGACAGAAGGATGAGGGGAATCTGTGGAAGAAGGGGAAAACTCCGATGGTGGTAAAGAGGGCAAAGCTGTGGAGGAAGAGAGAGAAGGTAAGGACAAGGAAGGGGAAGATGATGATACAGTATTAGGGATTGACTTGGGAGAGGCCGGCAATGATGGAGAAGAAGGTAGAATGGGCTGAGGTGAGATTGGACTTAGGGAGGTAGTAGACACGGGCAGGTCATGGTTTTGGGCCAAGGAAGATTTAGAAATGGGCTTAAGGGGAGGAAAATCCATAAGGTGAAATGGGCTGCGAAAATGGGGAAGTGGTGAAGACACCGGGACAATGTAGGTAGGGAAAAGAGGTTTCATCAAAAACAACATGCCTCGAGATAATAATCTTATTGGTTGCCAAATCAAGACAGCGATAACACTTATGATGAGCCGGGTAGCCTAGAAAAATACATAAGGTAGAGCGAGGAGCTAATTTATGTGGGGCAGTGGTAGACATATTAGGATAGCAAGCACAACCAAATGTTCTCAAATGATCATATTTTGGTGGGGAACCGAAAAACACCTCATGAGGAGTAAGAAAATGTAGCCTGGAAGTAGGTAATATATTGCCACTGAAAAGGAATGATCAAGACCAGCAATAGTTCGAAGCACTAAATCTTTATTAGATACTGGATGACCAATTCTGAAAAGCCGATCAGATAACCCCTTGACATACT